CCGTGCTTTTGCCTCTGGAGAAAAAAACGGCTCCTTGCAGAACAGTGGAAAGACTGTTCTGTGGAGCCTTGGAGCTGTGGTGGTGGGGATGTTGAGGGCTCAGAGGTGGAGGGAGTAGGCAGCCCCGACTTAAGGTTTCTGCCCTGAAACTTAGTCGCTGTGTGGATTGAGACAACCTACATAATACCACTCCACCTCAATGCTTCCTTTATAAACTAGGACGATAACATCTGCTTTTGCCCAGTGGGGTTGTTGTGTTGTGTACTGTGTGATGTGCCTGCTACATAACATAGGTACTCGTTAAATAGCTGTTTTTGTCACTGTCTGCTCATGGCAGGACTTCAGGGGGGTATGGAGATCAGCCTTCTCAAGCCTAGTAGGCTAAGAGGGAGCCCTGTGGAGTGAAGGGGTTCAGAACAAGCCTCCCCAGAATGAAATACCACAGCACTCCTGTCAGGATGTGCCACTTTGATGCAGATTATTTTGAGCTGATGACAAGGCCCCAAAGACTCAAAGAAATCTTTTCACCTCCTCCTAAAGTACATAAAAAAGAAAAAAACTTCAATGAAGGCTACTACTAGAGATAACTACAGAGTGTGCACGAGCTGTGGGGAACTCAGCAGGGACTGTTTACATTTCTCTGGGTCCCGCTGTCGGGTGGGTGGCATGGCAAACATTTGCTTACCAGACATTTGCTCTTCCATCTTCCTGTGAATTGACTTCCTTGTCTATGGAGCTCTCCTGCTTAGCCTTGTGAGTCTTGACTGCCTGGCTGGCTTTGGCCTCCTCGTGCCTATGTAAGGCTCCCATACATATGTGATTACATTTGTTTTTGTTTTCCTGTTAATCTGCTTTATGTTAATTATTAGATCAGCTGAAAGTACGTGGAAAGGTAGAGGAAAAAAATTTTCCCCCTGCAGGAGCAATTTAAAAAACGAGCACCTCCACTTTTAAAGAGGTTGGCAAGAAAATGGCGTTCATCATTGTAATGAAATTTTGCATTTCATTGTGTATGATTTAGATCAACAGCTTAGAGACGGGGATTTAACTGGAGAGTGTTAGGGTCCTCTTTCTTTTTAGTTTACATGTTTTTTCCAGTTGTATCATTTAGTTTATAAGTATCAGAAAAAAGAGTTTGGTAACCATACTGTGCCTCAGTTTCTACACCTGAACATTGGATGCTTCATTTCTCTTAATGGGTGGTTTGAAAGATAAATGAAAACATATAGAAAGCTTGGAAGTCTGGAAGAGTTAGTATTAATAAATGTAAAGAATCACAGTGGTTACTGTGATTACAAAATGAGAATTCTCCTTTTCAGCAGCACCTGAGAAGGGCAGAGCAAACCGCTGTGCTGCACTGATGATTTCGAAGGTGTTCCTTTAAGACCATGAGATGCTGAGAAATTGAACACTTTCTGTGTTCAATTAACAGTTCTGTGGTTTTAAGTTTTAAAGTTACACATGAGTGGTAGAACGAGAAGTTTTATTCCAGGTGTTTTTGCCACCCAGTGGGGTCTATTAGTCCAGAAAGCTGTAGAATCATGCTGTCCATGTCTGCTTTTCTTCCCTGCTATAAAAACGATGTTTGTGTGCTCTCAGTTTATCACCACTTAGGTTCTTCAGGGTAATGAGAGCTAGAAGAGAAACACCTGGTCCCCCTCTCAAGCATGTAGCAGTTATATTTCCCATCCACACTGTTAGCTCAGCTTTGAGGTGCGAGCTGCCTGTAGCAACCTTCTTTGTTCCACCATTGAAAGCCCCAAAGGACAAGTTTACCTGGCAAAAGTGTGTCTCAGAAATTAAAAATAAAGTTTTCTTCCATCTTGCTTTCCTACTCTTTGCCTTATACCATACCACACACATTTTTACTCATACATACAGACCGCAGGAGGCAGGAAGAGAAATCAAAGAACATGGTGAGACTTGACTTACGTTGCGGGTTTATACCTGCTCAAGAAGCTGCCAGTTCTGACCTTCCCACTCTAACAGTCTCCTCAGGCAGCCTGCACTAGCCATTATTTTAGGGGAAGAACCACCACCTTTTGTTTTTCTCTTCATTTGTGCATTTCTCTTTTCTGTACTGCTCTTCAGGGTTGATTCGTCTGTGTCACATAAATGGAAGCTTCTCCTGAAACTTGGAGGCTACATCCAAATCAAAAGAACATAGTGTTTCATTACATCACCATTTCATTTGAAAATACTGTCTTTGCACTGGCTTTTTTTTGAAATCTTCTTTTAATTACAGTTTACATTCAATATTATTTTGTATTGGTTTCAGGTGTATAACGCGTAGTGGTTAGACAATCATGCACTTCGTAGAGTGTCTGCCCTGATTTTTCCAGGACCCACCTGGCACTATGTGTGTGTATAGTCATCACAACACTATTGATTATATTCCCTGTGCTGTACTTTACATCCTGTGACTGTTTCGTAATTACCAATTTGTACTTCGCAATCCCTTCACCGTTAGTGCAGCTTCTTGACCACAAATTTTTGACATTGAGCCTCTAGGTGTTATCTGCACTTTATTTACTATGTAACAATCGAATCACAGTACTTCACGTTCCAGTCATTCCCAGGGATGGTTTGTCTACGACAAATGAATCTGGGTAAATTCCTCAGAGGTGATCTGAGGGCACGTGGGGAGACACCCGGAGGAAGAAAAGGCAAACAGTAAACACTAGTCCTCTGTGAACCTGACCACCATAATTCTAATTTTGTGTAAGTATTCTGTGGTCATATATAGCTATCTATTGAAGGGACAATTCACAGTGGGCATTTTAATGCGTAAAACCCTCCCTGCTACAAAATTGCAAATATTAATCAAATGCAGCCATAAGCCCTTCGAAGCAATATAACAGAAGAGCAGAAAAGCACCAGAATGAAAGGTTTGACATTTATTTTTACAAAAGCAATGAACATGAGATGGGTAGTATTCATTCATCTATGTCCCAGTTCTGAGGTCTGTTGCTGTCTAAAATGTAAGTTTCAGATACCTAGTTCCTTACCTCTGAAAGGTACCTATTTTTTTTTTAAATGTCTGGGTGGGCACCTTTCCTATTTCAATATTAGCATTGTGCCTGAATCCACACCCAACAATTTGCATATTATTTGTGATTACCCATAAAAGCTCATGCAGAGTATACTATCACTACATTAGAAGTTCATAAGTGAGAAACTGAAATTTAGAACAACTGAGACCTGGAAGCAGGTTGAATTAACTTTTGTAACAATCGAAATAATTATAAGCTGTTTATGCATACAATCTACTGGCATGCTTTTGGTCACACAAACAAAATCGACCTGTGTTACATCATTTCTGATCTCTCCATTTCCGACTGGTGCTCCTGGGCTTACAAATACATGATGTTGCTGTGAGTCACTGCAAATCATGTGGGAAGCAAGTGGAGTTTAATGAAAACAAATAAACGTATGTGCTTGTAATCATCAGCCTTTGAGAAATTAAAATATTGATGACTCAGCTGTAATTAGACTAGGGAGGACTGGTATACCAGTCACCCCATCCTGTTTGAAATGTTTTTCTCCATTTAAAACAACCTCAAACTAAACAAGAAACACATTGATCAACCATCCTCCCTCCCACACCCTCTATCTTCAAACTCATTTTCTTCCTAAAGAAAAATTCACAGAAATGTTATCTGGATTTTTTTTTAAGTCCCACATCCCTTATACGAATGTCCTAGCCATGTTATTGGGATAAAACCCATACTTAAATAGAATTTATCAGACACATTATATACAGCTCTTCCTCAGCTACTTTTAAGAAAGAAGAGTAGAATTCACATCTGACCTCCCACGATAGTTACTGAAATTGTAGCTCATTGGAGATTTGGGCAGCTGGCTTTGTTCTGCTTACCTCACAAGGGAGAGTCTGGAAACAGTTCTGTCTTAACCTCATTGTACTAATTACTGTAAGCTCCTTCTGTGAGTAGGATAATAATTGCCACACTAATCATTGCTCTGAAAGCAGAATAGCCACAATGTAGTCTTTAAGTGTATGCATATGTGCTGACATTTAAGACATTAATCTGAAGTTAAAGTGTCCATTTTTCAATTACTATATAAGGATGCATATTATTCTATTATTAGACTAACTAATATGTTAAACTAATGTCAATATGTTAAACTATATGTCAAACTAATACATATTAGTCTCTAAGATAGGAATAATACTTCTGGTGCAGAAAAGTGCTTAGTTATGATTATTGATATGCAGTCTTTATAACATTTGAGTAGAAAGACAAGGGAACATTGGCATCTATCTTTTTGCTTAACACTACCCTTGAATTACTACTATCTTGGAGCTCTTTTTCTATAGTGTAATGGAGTCTTATAGTTACTCTCATTTCCTGAACTAAACTACATTCTTCTGAATTCAGAAGTTGTGTTTGATAGAAGCTATAGAATCTATACAGAGCCTGAGTCATGCATAATAGTCAGACAGATCTTAAATGGATTTGTCTAAATCTATTTAAGAACCACCTGGTTTTCATTTTACAGTCATCAAACAAAAATAAACCTTTGGTCTATTAGTTGGGATGTCTCTTTTGAAAAAATATTTTTAAACAATCATCAGAGGTACATTACCTTTTGAATACACTGTCAACTGCTCCAGAACTGTTGGCCATACATAGTTACTTGGTGTCAGGAACACAAAGTTAAACACCTTTCAATATAATGATAATCCACTGTAATTTCTAAAGAGATACATTTCTTTGGGTTTTATACTATCAGATGCCTTGATAAAAATTCATGCAAATCAAATAACAGATTACTGACCCGGATATGTCCTGATTTTTCAAGAAGTAGAAATACTTTTAAATGTACTTTCTTATCTAGTGAGCTGATTTTAACTTTTTCAACATAATTCAAACAAAGTTACCATGCATCTAGGAATAGTAACAGTGCTTCTGTTGTGTTGAGTAGATTGAATCAAATAATGCAGTTCCATTAATAATGAGTTTTTATATTTTCTATAGGTGGATAAGTGGGGCAGCTGTAGTCAACGCATTTTATTCTTCAGGCAGAAATCAGATAGGTAAGGTCTGTTCCTACATAATTCTTTATTATTCCTTTACTATTTTCAACCTGTAGTGAATTGCATGACCAATTTATAGCCCTCCCCATAAAAGCATAGCTGTTACTGATTAACTGAATATACTCTTTGAAAGTGAATTTATCTCTGTATCTCTTTTCATTATAATTGAAAATATTTAATTAGTACAAATCACATTAAATAGTTGTTTTAAACAATTCTCATTTTTAGCTGGTTTGTTTCTAAGTCCTTTTTTAATTTCTAAATATTTCTTAAAATTCCCTTATATTGCTATAAAGCCATATGGGCTGTAAGACTTCCTAAGTATCAACATCTTCAAGTAGTTGAAGGTTCCAGTAACCAACTTTTTAAAGATTTGATTTTCCTTGCAATTCTGTATTCTGGCTTTGATGGAAATGGTCCTGTTCTGTCTCATCTTTTTTTCTAGGAGATGGCATAGGGCTCAGAAAGTTAAAAAGTCAGTTATATTAGGTTGAAACATAGCAAATTAAATTTTCTTAACCACTTTTGACCCAAAGAGAAAAAATCTCATGTGTTCACTAATAATAACATAGCAGAAATATGCATCAAAAGTAATATATGAGGAAACAATATATGTAATAATTAAATGCCTTAATAGAATATATTTTTTTCTCTTGGGAGACCTTGACATCTTTAACTTTCTTTTAAGTATCACATAAATAGGTTTGTTACTGGTGGAAAATGAGTTCTTGTGGTATCATGAGGAAAAGAGTTTCCTGAGACCCACACAGGAGAATGGGACTCTGTGGTATGCCTTATTGATGATGCAAAATTAAGGGGGTTCCCCTCCCGACTTCCCAATGCCCCATCTCTGTCTGTGTCACCGTGGAAGAAGCCCAATCTTGTCTTCAGTAGGCCACTGCCCAGAGTTTCTGTTCTATATTAAAATGCAGCCCAGTCCAGCACCCAAGTAGCTTCCTTCCTGCTTCCAGCTGCAGTCCATGGCTGTGCCGTGGTGTTCGGGCTCCTCCTGGGGCCTGTGTGGAGAGGGGCCATGGGGCTGCTAAGACCCCATGGCCACGGAGAGAACAGATGAGTGCACTCTGAGTGTAGGTCATTGGGGGAAAAAGAGAGAAAAAGAGTATGTGTGTGTGTGTGTGTGTGTGTGTGTGTATTCCCCTGGGATTATATTAGTTTAGATTTGGGATGGACCGGGGATCTTTTCAAAAGACCCAATCAATTTTCCAAGCTGACACAGGCTTTGGATGGGTTTATACCCTCTGGTTAGACTGACAGGCCTCTTTGATCTGGCACCTCACCCTATAGCCCCCAACAGTCCAGTACTGCAGGGGGAAGGGAGGAGTGTTAATCCCCTTGGCAAGCTGTGCTGGGATCCCTGGGGTGTAGCTTCCTCGCTCATTAAGCAGGCTTTTTCCCCCCAGTTTATTAAGCTCAGTGTCTGAATCCCTCTGTTCCCCTTTCTTAATAATTAATGACTACATAAATGCCGATGGCATTTCCCTAATGCCCCTATTTCCCTAAGGGTAATAGCTCCATATTTCCCTAAGGGTTTTTAGTGTATACAAAGACACCTAATTGATTCAATACTAGCAGAGGTATTCTAAACAGTACTGTCCTTTATTTCTAAGTGTGGTCAAGAATCAAGAGAGGAGATAATTTCAGCATTATTCTAAATTACTCTCTTTGTATCTCAGAGTCTACCCTAAGCATTGTTTTTCTTGAATTTTGTTACTAATTAGATTTAAAATGATGAAAAATCCTGCAAGATTTTTACCATTGGTTACAAAACAAACTTTAAAAGAAGTTGAAAATCTTATTTTATTTAAAAATTAGATTATACTTTTCCTCTTTGCTTTTAAACCTACAAAGAGTTAAATTAAGAAGTTATCTATCCTGGCTAGTGTAGCTCTGTGGACTGAGCACCTTGGGTTGTGGAGCTGCGAACCAAAGGGAACCAAAAGTTAATGGTTTGATTACCCCCCGGGGCACATGCCTGGGTTTCTAGCTGAGCCAGGTCATGGGAAAAGCAACTAATCCATGTTTCTTTCTTTCTTTCTTTCTCCCTCCCTTCCCCTCTCTCTAAAAGTAAAAAATAAATAAAAATTTTTCTAATAGGTATTTTAAGAAAAGATATTAACTACATTTTCTTTTGTGGTTTTATGGTTTTTATTTTTTGAGTCAATCTGTAATCCAGCTGGAATTTATTTTGGTATGTGACATGAAAATGAGTTAGAATCAGAAAAGTAGATAATAAGTATGGCAGGTTCCCTGGGTTAAAATCAATTAGCTCAAGGTATTTTCTAGGCTAAAACATTTCCCAGCAAGTAAAGTGATTACCTGAACTCAGACCAGAGTCCGTTTAATGATCAACTCAGGACCCTGCTGTCTGTCCCTGGAAATGTAGTCCTAGAAACCATTCAAACCTTTCCTTAGAAGTGCCGTTATCCCTAGAGAGAGGCTGTACTTCAAAGACCTCTTTTTTATATTCAGTAATTCCATCAGTGTAACATCTAGTTCATTCTAGACTTGGACTTAAATGAGATCATTAACCTTTCATGGAATCCCAAGGCAAAGAGAGCAAGGCAGCCTGGATTGGGCTTCTTCATTAGGGCAGATGAAAGGATAGAGCATCATTTTAATCCCTCTTAGGGAGGGCCCTGGATCCTATCAGACCTGGTACTGAGTTGTCCCAACAAGCAGAGCCAGACAGAGGCTCCATAAGATCACCCAATTCATCCCTTCAGCTATTCTCTAGAGCAGGTCCACGTAGTCCAGGTCAAGACAGAACCTTGTTTGGCTCTGAATCACCCTCTATTCCTGGAGCTGGCTCAAAAGTGGTCCATATCAGAGATTCCTTCATCAGAGGAGACCTGGGAATGTTCCCATCTTGTGGTCAATACCCTCAAACCGAAGCAGCTCACAGCAAAAAGAAAAGGAAGGTGCAAATGGCCCAATGGGTCGCAAAGTAGACTGTTACCCCGGAAATCTTCATCAAGAATTGGCTGTAACAAGCACTCATAATACACAAGAAAGACCTTTTAAAGATTCTTAAGATAATTCATCTGAAGGAAAAATGAAATTTAGAAAATTGTTAACCTCTCTTCATATGCTCATCTGCTAATAATAGCAGTTCAGAGAAAGGGAAGGTGTCACGGGGGGGAAAGATCTTTGACATGTGACGTTTTCTCTTTGACAATTCAGCCAAATCTTCAAAGTGGGGATTGTCTTAACTAAAAAATGGAAGATTCTGATCTCCCTCTCACTTCTTGATAAAAGTATGTGTATTTGTGCAGATGTGTACAGTCATAAACATATAACTTTTGCAACATTGTTTTAACATTGTCTTTTTTAATATATATTTTATTAATTATAAGACTATACTTTCAGGGATCATTTCTATAGTCCGTTAACATTGTCTTAATGGCCTGGGTATCACATGCATCACAGAATTAGAATTGGTATAAAATAGCATGTGTCTCATAAAGGACCCTCCCACCTTCACACAAACTCCCTGAATAAAATTGCATAAAATTTCTCATGGGATTGATTTTGTTATGTTACGGTAAAAAAAATTAAATAACCTGTTTTATTATCATATCAAGGGCTATATTAATAACTTCTACTTTTCAATTCAATTGCCACCTTTTGTCATAACTCTCACATGTAGGCTAGATTCCAATTTGTATGCACTTCCACCACTTCCCATCAGTTCAACATTAGTCAACCTCTAGAACCGTTGCAGAGTACACCAAAAGTGTGTAATGCATGCACGAGTTCCCAAACCTTCCTGGCACATTTGCTCCAGGAAGCTCTAGAACCCTTCCACGCCATTAGGGCGGCTGCACTGGAATGTTTTGTCAACCGTTTCTCTGTGAGCTCCAGGCTCTATTCAGTCATATTAAACCTTAAAATCTTATCCAAGGAATTAAGTTTGAAGGGAAGACACTACTGCTTTATTTATTGTCCTTTTCCATTAACACTCAAAAACGTTTTCAAGTTTAGAAGATCTATGGATTATTTATATTTAGTTTATCTACCTTGGGTGGTCTGTGGCTGCCTTGAGATAATAAAGTATTCTAAAATTGTCTTATTCATTCCTAAGAGTCTTGTTTTCAGACTTGAAAATCAAGAGTAAATATTTCCAAACATTTAGTATAAGAAGAACATTTAATTTTTTCTACCAAAAAATTGATTTTAATTGTGCTCTTGAGCTTTATGTCAAAGATTCTAAAATCATACTTCGTATAACCTTACAAATATAAGCCAGAGAATGAAGGGGAGGGAACAAAGGGAAACAGCCTTTGTTTCATGGGCTAATGACTTGTTTAATTAACTAACTTGTTGACATCCACGAACATAAAAATGCACAACTAAGCAGTTAGTTATTATGAAGAGTTGTGAAGTCTACTTCAATAACAGCCATAAAGCTAGTAGGGAAAATCCTCATCACAAAGATTTAGCTGACAGAGTGAAAGGAGAAGTCATAATTTGCAAAGTTGAACTTGAAGACTAGCATTTAATATGAGCCATAAAAATCTTATCACTTGCCTGGAGAATGGCATATCAGGGTATAATTAAAGCAGCAGGATCTTTACAGTTAATGTTTAGTCTTGCTAGCACGTTTTACAAGAACATTTATATAATGGGTGGATTTTAATCAGAGTACATAGTGTGGGAGATAATGTTCACTTCAAGTTAATAAAGTACTGCACGTAATTTTTATAGTTTAAGCTAAAAATTAGTTCTTGTCACTGTTGATAGCTCACGCAGCCACATGTGGGTATCACTTCCATCAAAATTCACCAAGGACAAACCTATTTATTGTTTCATTATTCCATCATTTTGAATCTTAGAGCAATGTTGCAGTTTTTTTAAAGATCTGAAGAACACTTAAATTGCCCCGTGTATTTTTAAAGTCTTCTGTGTAAATAACTAATATTCATTCCTGAGACAAATGCAAGGCTATGTCATGTTCACCCAACCTGAAAGATGAAGAAACAACATTTGCTACTCTCTGTTAACTAGATATTACAATTTTTAAGGTCAGGGCCCTTCTCTTGTATTCCTGGTATCCCACAGAGCAGTGGTCCAGGGCTTTGCAAGTAATAGACGTCATGCTGATGATATTTTTTGTTACAGAACATACTGCTTCAGGTATTCAGTGGATACTAGAGTTTTAAAGCATGAAAGATAAAATTACTAAATTATGAGCATTATGAACGAAAGGGAGGGCATGAGGGCAGTGTACAAGTAGGAGAGAACCGTGGAACCAGGCCAGGCAGAAGATTCTGTTTAGTTAGAGAGCAAGGTTTTTTAGCAGGGAAGTGATAATAAGTTGCAGGATATCTGGCTGCAGGATAGATTAGATTTAAGGTACATTATACTGAATACAATAGGTGGTGAGACAGGAAGTGGGGAAACCAATTAGGAAATTAATTCTGAGGCAAGTGTGAATGAGGATGATGTCAGTCAGACTGACTGACAGGAGGAGAAAAGGGATGGTCCTGGAAGGGAAGTATGTGATCTGGTCTTTTCCTAAGCAGACTTGTAAGACTTTGTTACAGAAAGGAGGCACCCGAGATACATGGAAAATGTTCAAGTTGCGTGAATTGAGACCCTTTGCATGCTGTTAACAGAAATAATAAAGTCAAGAGAGTGATGGCTCAGAGGGGAAAATGAGGAATTTGATGTTTGAAACATGGAGTTTAAAGAGTCCATTAAGACATCTAAGTGTAGAAAGTTAGCAAGTTAATGTAGATATCAGGGTAGACATAAAATTGTTATTTATGAAAGTCTTTAGGATACCGCAGTAAATTCATTCATTCATTCATCATTGGTTAGTTATTTATTCAACCCACTTTCTAAGCACCTAGAATGTTCCAGGCACTATGCTAGTTTTAGGTACTGGAGATAAACTGAAAAAAATGAATTAAAAAAACAAACAAACATAGGTACAGACACACACGTCTGCTCCCCATGGGCAGGTACAGGTGCAAGGGTGGGACAGTAGAGAAAAAGAACGATTATATATAAGGAAATAAATAGTCATAGGTTTCTTGGTGAAAATAAAATAAGATTATGCAACTGGGGGTACCTTTGATGGGGTGGCTCTACTTAATAAACTATGGTAAATGGATAAAATGCTAGAGATAACATTAAAATTAATGCCTGTGTTATTAAGTAACTATTTCTCCTAAATATGTACAATGGGGAAAAGACCTTCTGCATGAGAATGATAATTTCTGCCTTGCTCTAAACTCCTTATAGCAAAAATAATCTTACTCGAGATCGTCCGGTAAATTGTGTTTACAAATTACAGATGAGTCCGGGCTAAACCCTTTGTTGCTACCAGTAATAAAAGGCCTGCATTTGTTTCTATCACAAAAGATTTTTGTGTATAAATAAGTGAAATGGATATACAGGAAAACAGCTTTGCAGGCAAGAAGCCAACCCCAGGCCTGCTGTCCCTCCCAAAAATGCCACAAATAATCCTCAATCACCTTTTCTTGCAGTCTTCCCGGCTGGCATTCTGCAGCCCCCCTTCTTCAGCGCCAAGCAGTCTAAATCACTGAACTACGGGGGCATCGGCATGGTCATAGGACACGAAATTACCCACGGCTTCGATGACAATGGTAAAGTGCACTTGGCATTCCTGTGACTAAGATATAGCCTCATACACCTGGTTAAGAGTTATTATAACTTATCAATACAAAAAATACATTATCCATCCAGGGTGTCATTGGTCTGATAACCACCACATGTTTAATGTTTCTTTTAAATTGTTGCTTAAAGAGATCAGAACCTTCTAGTCCTGAGGTAAGCAGTGTGTACTTCACTCTCTGATGAAATAAAGCAAATATTCACAATGAGAAAACACTAAGGATAATATTTGAACTTATTTCACAATTTTTTATGTCATAGTTCCCTAGCCTTTTATGGGGCAGGGTTCATGTCTTAAAGTCAGATATAAAAAAATGAAACAGTAAGATGCCCATAAGCCGTAGAGTCTTAAACTGCTTGTGGGGTATGACTTCTTCCTTTACGCCCCTCCCCCCTAGTTTAAGGCCTTGCTAACAGTGGTCACTTAAAATCTACCAGTTTATATACTGAAAAATAAATTTTTGACTGGTAAAATAGAGTTCACATGTCAATGAAATTGAGAGGAAAAGAAATAAAGGCAGGAGATAGTCAAGTTGTGACAAAGACGGGTTTGCCAGGAGAAAGAAAATAGGAAGAGAACAAAGAGAGGAAAAAATTCAGCCTTAACTTGACCTTCAGAGATTTAGAGAAAGGAAGGGAAGCAGGAAGGGCCCAACTTTGGAAAGGACTTACTAAGTGTCTGTTAACCCGATTAACTATACAATAGTTTTCACAGGAGGGTACTAATACTTCCTCCATTTTTTTTTAATGAAAAGAAAAAGTAGGGACACATAAAAGGTACAAATTACAAAGCTTGTAATTGGTGGAACCAGAATGTGCGTTCAGGTAGTTTGTCTTCATAGCCCTTTTCGTACTCACTGCATCATAGATGACTATTAAAAAGATGATAAAGTTCAGTGTCAAGACATATGATGTATATAAAGGATATTGTAGCTCAAAAAAGGAAAAGACCAATGTGTTGGGTTGGCCAAAAAGTCCATCACGTTTTTTCTCTATGATGGCTGTAGTACTGCTTAGTTGTCTTTAACTTCATTCGAAACAATTTTTTTATATTTTATTGTGACAGCTGATCATATCAGCGTGCATTTAAAAAACTGGTGAATTTTTGTGCAGCCATTTTAATATTGAAAATGGAAGAAAACACGCAGTATTTTTTGGACTATAAGACACACCCCCAATTTGGGAGGAATAATTGTTAATGCTGCTGTCAAGTTCTGTTTACATTTACATCAGTGAAATATTATGTCATTTATGTTATTAAATATTTTACCATGTTTTTTTGCTTCAAAATTTTTTTTTGTTTTCCTCCTCTAAAACCTAGGTGTGTCTTATGATCCAAAAAGTACGGTATTTCAAGAAAGGTAAAAACATAACTGAAACACAAAAGATTTGTGCAGTGTATGGAGAAGGTACTATGATCGATCCAGTGTGTCACAAGTGGTTGGTGAAGTTTCTTGGTACTATTGACATTTTGGCCAAATAATTCTTTGCTGTGGGACTGTCTTATGCATTGGAAGATATTTAGCAGCACCCCTGATCTCTACCCACTAGAAGCCAATAGCAAGAAATAGCAAACATACTCAAAATATCTAAATCAATAAAGTTATTAGTGAAAATAAAAAATGTATCTTTTATTTCCAAAAAAAAATGTAATGAGCTTTTGGGTGAACCCAGTATTTAGGATCAGCAGGAAAGCTCCAGGAGGATAGGTCACCTTTGCTTTCTGCTTGAAGCAGAGAGAAACTGAGTCCCCAACATGTCATGAGAGTTTGAGATATGAAACAAATGCCAAAATGAAAAACATTGTCCTTTTAAAATCTCAACATGTCAAGTTAAACAGACTTGGTTCAGAGGAAAACCAATAGAAACAAGGCATTATTTCAGGAGTGTGTATCTGGTGGCCTCAGGTGAGATCTTAGGAGCTGAGTGGGTGAACCGTCTGAATGAACACTAAGGCCCATCAGCAAAGAAAACCCTGGCAGTCCAGGTTCCAGCAGCTCTGCGAGGAAAGGAGAACAGTTCCTCTCATTTTCTGTTCACCTTCGTGTTCTCTCACGCCGTGGTATTTCAGTTCCTGCACTTCGAATTAAAAATATCTTATTGTAATTCTTGATGTAATGAGTTCTTATTTTACTGGGATAAATGTATTACAGGCAGACATTTTAACAAAGATGGAGATCTCGTTGACTGGTGGTCACAACAGTCCGCAGACAATTTTAAAGAGCAATCCCAGTGCATGGTGTACCAGTACGGAAACTTCTCCTGGGACCTAGCCGGCGGGCAGCACGTATGTCATCATCATTCTCTTGAAAAGTTTCCAATATGTTCAATCTACAGTGAGTTACTGAGGCCTTCTTAACCATCAGAATACAGTTAAGGGTCTGTTTTTTTTAACAGCTCAATGGAATTAACACACTGGGAGAAAACATTGCTGATAACGGAGGTATTGGCCAAGCATACAGAGTGAGTAATAATATTTTCTTCCCATTTTAGTGGTTGGAGTGCTGAAATTTATCATATTTCATCATTCATTTAAAGCCATTTGCAAAATACACAACTAAATCTGTAAACAACAAAAGAGGAAAGTGGGAAATACCAAGAGAAAGGGAATTGAACATGCACTAACGAACAGGGGCAATCCCGTTGTGACTGAACTGAGTGCAAGAAGCTGAGGAGCAGAAACACAAAACGTTGCATCAACAGAAATGAGGGGATATGTGCAGATCTACCGAGGAGGCAACCTTTTTCTAAGAAATTTCTGAACTAAATGTATTACAGAAGAGGCCTCATAAAAAGAATTATTTCAGAATCATTGATCAGTGTACTGAACAAGGCCTTCCATTTCACAGCAGGTGAAGTAGTGTTTGGGAACCATAATCGGCATAAACCACAGGCAAACTATTAAACCGTAAACCAGTTACAGTGATAGAGTGAAGGACTGGGTGCTCTGGTTTCAGCATGTGGCCTGTTAGTCCTCCCAACTGTTATGGCCGCAGGAGTCGACCATGCAGCCTTCGCTAGATTCTCAGTGAGCCTGCCATGAATTTGTGCGTTCAACAAATGCTCGTTGAGGACTTAACTCTGTGTTTGGCACCGTTCTCAGAGATGCCTTGTGCACAGGAAAGGTACGGATTTTCACAGTGAGTGGACGAATACCAGTCTTGGAAGTAACAATGAGGAGTAAGGATAATGCTGAGGCTTCTTCCAACCCTGAGGTAGCCAGGTGAGGGAGAATGAGCAGAGTCTACTTGAGACGATGCAGGGGACGAGGTGTCCCCATAATAAGATGAATCGAATATTCCACAGAGTGGATGAGGACGTAGGGTTATTTGTTCATCGTAGAAATCTTTGGGGTAAAGGGGAGGAGAGAAGCCCAGGAGTTGGATCAGGAAAAAGAAGCATCGGAGTCATGTGGGAGAGATGACCAGCGAGGCTTGAGATTTGGCAGTGAACATGGACAGATGAATACAGTGTGAGTGAGACTTGGGAGATTAAGCTGACTTCAAAGTTTCCAAAAGAATGAATCCCCGCCAAGTCCTGTGAGATGGTAAATTGCAGCTTCTTGGAAAGCTTCATAACTTTTTTTACTGGATGCCAGACATTGTGCCTTTTACCTTTTTGGGTGTTGGATATTTTTGTTTTCGTATAAATATTTTTGAGCTTTACTGTAAGACACAGTAAAATTCCTCAGCAATGGTTTGGTCCTTTTGGGTCTTGCTTTTACAGCTTGATGGGGTGGGACTAGGAAAGTGCTCAGGGTGAAGACAGTCCTTCTCCACGGCTGATACAAGACCCTACTGCGTGAACCTTGAGGTCCCGCATTGTTGCTGGGTGTGCATACCAGACATTTTTATCTCTAATCCTTGGCCGAGGTTCCCTCACAGGTCTCGGGTAGCTTGCTCATAGGCACACTCACACTCAGCTGAATACTGAAGCATGCCATCTGATCTTTTGAGATCCTCTATCTGTGCAGCTTTCTTTTCTTTAGTGCCCTGACCTTGGTGTCCCTGAACGTTTTGTTCTCAACTCTAGGAGTCCCTTGGACTCTGACTGAGTTTCCCTTCTCTACAGTGTGGCCTGCAAAGGCCCAAGGCAATAAACTGGGGCAATCCTAGGGCTCATCTTTTTTCTTTACCACCTCCCAGAGATCACTCTCCTTTTACCTAATGTCAGCGAGCCATTTTTCATGCATGTTGTCAGTCATTTGGCTATTTTAGCGGGATGGTTACTTAACCAGTCCCTGTCACTTTATCTTGCCTGGAAGAGGAAGACATTGGCACTCTTAAAACTCCCAGGTTTAACATACTGCCCTATTAAGAATCACTACTTTAAAAATCCAGCCAAAATCTGGGATGATGGTACTCCTTTGGAGATCCTCATCTAAAGTAAGTATAGAATTATAATGAAGCAAATCATATTTGTGCAAATCTTTTATTATATATAAAATCATAAAATCTAATGCCCTGTTTTCTACTAGATTATGAACTCTTTAAGAGGGAACAGGCTCAAATATCCCCCATTTCCCCAGAATCTTTGTAGAGAATAAATCTTTGGTCATGGCATGCAGAAAGAAATGAAATATAACTTCTGCTTATCTAATTGATCACATTCCTTTGTATTAAATTGGAAGCGACATCTCAGAATATTTGTCATCAGTTCTTTTCTTAAGTAAATTTAAGTAGAGAAAACCTGTGTTTTTCAATAGTGTCCGTGAATCTTTAAAACTTTAAAACATTTTTTTAACATTCAAGTAACCTAAATTTCTTTTTTCTAATGTAACTACAGTTCACTTTATTTTGCCCTGTCTTCAGGGGTCCAAAATAATTGCCCATCCTTATTTTCGGAATCATGGGATATTAGGCCTCTAAGGGAGCTTAAGAGATGTTTGGCAAAAATCACTCAAAATCTGATATGAGCATATTTTGCTAAGAGTAGTAACTAAGCTAAATACAGCAATTACAGACTCCCTTGGCAATCCATTCTTCCAACTAGTTGGACTTGACCATCTATCAATAGAAAACCACTTACGAAAGTGTTTCATTACTTATTTAAGTCATTCATTCATTTAACTGGCATTTATTGCTCATTTGACATGTGTTGGGTTCTTGTCATTTTTAATCAGTATGCTGTTCTTTTCAAAGCATTTGTAAGTACATTCTAGGTTGCCATATCAAAGTATATTATTATGGCAATTCTGATACAAAAAGTTAATGACTTGGTTCAGTGGTCTTTGTATAATTTATACATAAATTTGGAAATTATAAGCACCATATTTCTGTTTTATTAAATGCCTAGGCCTATCAAAACTATGTTAAAAAGAATGGTGAAGAAAAATTGCTTCCTGGACTTGACCTAAATCACAAACAACTATTCTTCTTGAATTTCGCTCAGGTATGATATTCTTCTTGACTGATAGATGTGAAAATCATTTTGATTTATAATTTTATAGTCAATTAGATAATCCATGCTGAGGTTTCTTATTTTAATTAATTGTGACAGATCATTTGACTTGACTAAATTTCATGGTGTATAACAGACTGTCAAATTATATTAGTGGTATTTATACCACTGGTTGCCGATCATTGAACATTACTCGAAGAGTAAGTGGTCGAGGAACTCAGAATGCCAATTTCATTTTTAGAGTAGGAAGTTTGCTTTTCCCTCAGCCTACCCAATAAGTAATATCCTTGATTAAACCTAAGCACAAGGTTTCCTTTCTCCACTTCTATTCCTAGGTGTGGTGCGGGACCTACAGGCCAGAGTATGCAGTGAACTCCATCAAAACAGATGTCCACAGTCCGGGCAATTTCAGGTGCGTGGGTCTGAACAGCAGCCAAGGTGCTCCAATATTGGCTCCAGTACCTCCAGTTTGGGAAATTGGCCTTTTTTAACTGATTTTACAGCATTTGGAAATCCAGAGTTTAGTTTTCTTTTCTTTTGAGGGTTGTGGATCAGATGGACAGAATACGTCGGGGTAAGTGTCGTAGTTACACAGGCATAGCCTTCACTGTCCTCATCCTCAGAATCAGGGTCAGCTGGGCTCAGTGCTTGGGGGAGTCCAACAAATATGCCACCTGCAGACAGTGGCTCTGTGTAAAGGTGGCACAAGGACATTTCTAAGGATCTGTGAAAGGTGTAGGCCTAAGGCCAATGAGTAGCTGTCCCAAAGAAAGATTTCTATTCAACATAAAGGGAAACTTTCTAGCAATTAGAGCTTGTCTGACACGGAAGAAAGTTGTGCCCAAAGCTCTGCCCACAAACAACCCATCAAGGACGAGTGCTCTGCATGGTGGAAGGTCAAGTTAGAAGATGTCTAACGCCCTTTCCAAATCAGACAACCTAAGAAAACATTGGACTGGAGAGAATCACTCTAACCAGGATTTGAATGTTAAATCTTAGATCTCTATGTACCTATTTTAGGACTAATTTCCTAATGCGACTTCTTTCCCAGGTACTATAACACTTCTTATCAACAATGACTTTTCTCAGGCAAGACTGTCTGAAAAACAAATTGAAACTTTTGTAAGGTGGTTGGAAAAGAGTTTGAAACAAGAGAGAATTAATGGGCTGAATTTTAAAAGCTCTTTCCAAATAAGCATAAAGCCCATGTCATTCACTCGTAGGGAACAACCACATTCAATTATGAAACAAAATAGCACATTTAAAAACTAAAGAATTTACTCATCTTGTTCTACTTTCATCATTAGCATCACCATCATTTAGTAATTGTCTTAACATTTCTTTCAGAACTCATTCACCCATCAACTGTTCATTGTATGTCTGCTTCGTATATAATCCAAGCTAAATTTAGTCTTGCTAAGATTATCCAAATGAATTGCTTCTTAAGTGATAAGCAACAAAATTCACTGGATCAATTGACATTATGGTTTATCCAAGTAACTCTTAGTTTCAGTTTTTTTAAATATTTATTGATTTTTAGAGAGGGGGAAAGGAGGGAGAAAGAGAGAAAGAAGCATCAATGTGTTGTTGCTTCTCTTGCACCCCCCAACTGAGGACCTGGCCAGCAGCCCAGGCATGTGCCCTGACTGGGAATTAAACCAGCTATCCTTTGGTTCACAGGTTGGCACTCAGTCCATTGAGCCACACTAGCCAGGGCAAGTTTTAGTTTTAAAAAGATTTTTTTATTTATTTAAAATCAGGGAGAAAGAAAGGGAGAGAAACTTCAATGTGTGAGAGAAACATTAATAAATTTGCACACCCCCACCCTGGGACCTGGCCAGCAACCCAGGCATGTGCCCTGACTGGGAATTGAACCAGCAACCTGTATGTAGATTTGTAAGACAACACCCAACCCACTGAACCACACCAGTAAGGCCCAGTTTCAATCTTTTTAAGTTGTCTTTTTTTCTTACTGAAGTTTGTGGAAAATATAAGAATCCAGTTCTGGAGATAATAGAGAGCAATTATAAGCTCACACATACTACCAACCACCACAATGACTGAATTTGTCAAAGCTCTGCTCTGCATATCCCCATGAACTAAAGCAAGTGTGTGTTAAAAACCTGAGTGAATGTAAGTAATATTATTGTAATATCTGGTACATCTGGTGTCCTCAGAGAAGGCGGGTTGCAAATTAATTAACTTCTTAATAACTTAAATTTGTCTCTTTAGTATTAACATTTTTATCTTAACCACTGGATTAAAATTTTTCTATTTAAAACACATTTTCTACCTTTCTGCCTTATTAATATGATATCCTGAACAAAACCTAAGCTTTTCTTTTTGGACTATTGTTATGACTAATAGTTATGGTGTTACTGTTTATTAGTTTAGTGAAATCCTCAAAAGCTAGAGTGTGGGGAGCTATTTATTTCTACACTAAAAATCAAGCGTCACTAGTGGTGATGCTTCCTGACTTTTTATTCTGGCTTTTTGTTAGAGTTTTTCAGATGAGATCGGGCGCACTCAGGGCAGTATGGCCATACACTAGAGCTTTTCTGTTTGTTTGTTTTGCCCCTAATTCTCTTTCCTGTTACTCCATTGCCTGTTTTTGGCTGTGCCCTTCTTCCCTTCTGATTACCTCAGAAAACATATCCTTACATTTGTTTGGTAATAAATGACCGCAAGCTTTAAAGTAAAAAATACTTAAATTCAGTAAAAAGGGTGGGGGAAGCAAACAAACAAGAAAACGAAAGGAGTAAACCCAAAATTCCTTTCCTCCAAAAGAAACACTTGGATGGCAACCATGGCCCTGCCATTTACAGTTGTTACTTGACCCCTGCATCTCAATTTCTTGATATATAAAATGAGGATTAAAGTATTATGAGAGTCACTCGCTAGAAGGATTAATGTTAGTGTTCCTGAAGTGTCTCTTCCATATTTGTGTTTAAAAATCACTACTAGGATTGGTTCTAAATACAGAAGGCATGAACAGAATATGAATTCCTGTGCATACGGTATATATGGACTTTGCAACACTCCATGTTAGCTGACAGGACTTCTTGGTGTTCATTTCTTATGTCTGGGTAGTTCTGAATGTTGATGACCGGCGACTGGGTAAGTGACATGTAGGTAAATACACAACTGTTTTCTACCACACATTTATAAACCAACAATAATTTTATTATAATTAATTGTAGCATTTTGCATTTGTAAAAGTATGCATTTACTATAACTATGTAAAATTATTTTCGACTTTTATTTTCATTGTTCTGACCAAAAAAAAAGTTTCTCTGACTAATTTTCATTCATAATAAGAGAAGTATGTGCTGTTGATGTTTTTAAAGGGTAAACGGAATGCCAACCTTTTGTTAAGGGAATTATTTTCTCTGGAGATGAAGGGATTTCCTTGGCAAACAGCTGAGGTTGGGTTTAGTTGTGGAAACAGGCTATTTCCTGGCTGTACAAAGTAAAACATGTTTTTTAAAGAGCTTTGAAAATTAAGAGGCATTCAGTTGCTATTAAAAAATTGTGTACAGTGGTTTATGTAGAAATTTCTGAAATAGAAGCAGTTTTTGTATTTTTATGCTTACACAGCCGCAGTATGAAAAAGAAAAGGCAAATTATACTTGATGTAAAGCTGAATATGTAAAACCATTTGTTAGATCTAAGCTATAAATTTTTTAATTTTTTCTGAGTCTTATATACTTTAAAATCAGCTTCTAAACTATTAGTATTTAAAACAAAAACATTTCCCCTTGATATTCTAGAAATTCAATTTGCAATTTAATGACTTCTTTCAGTCACTTCAGGAACTGGTTATTGTGATAATATTTACTATATAATCTATAAATGTGTTTATAAACTCAGATGTAATATTTCTACATAACATAGAAGGGTCTGGTAACTTTTTAAAGCAAATACAAAGAGACAAAATGATACTTGTGTGTATACTACCCAAATAGTAATGGTGCTAATTAGATGTGTAGATTATCTGATATTATTTTTCCAGTCAGAAAAAAGGGTATTTTTCAAGGCTTAATTTCTAATACCTTTGAAAGAATATCTTTTCTAGTCTTTTATGCAGACATTTTCCAGTAATATAGCTATTTTTTCCCTACGATTCCATGATTTAGCATGCATAAATTAAACCCTCTTTGAAATACTGATGTTTTCTCTATTACAAATATTAGCACTGGCTTCTCATATTTTGTAAATATCAGTGTGGACTTTGGTAAGCCTGGTAGAATGCCCGTTAGTAGTTATTAAATCTTTAGCTCTTACCTAGAACTCTGTTTAGGCATTTGTTTGTTTATCAGTTTATTGTAAAACATATGTTGATCAGTGTGACCTTATTTTAAAAGAACCATGAACATTAGTTAATGGTAAAGACTGGATAGTTTACTCATTAGTTAATCTTGTAGCCAAGTTATTCCTTTAAAAGAACGAACCAAAGGTTGTCAGAGGACCCATTCATTTCAAGGAGCTCATTCAGTAATTTAAAAATCCAGTTAACTGCAGACAGGAGTGTCAGATGAGTTATAGGATTAAAAAGTTCATTTTTGGCCACATGATGTTCAACCCCAGAACTCTTAGATTTTTTTTTTTTGGTTTTTATGTTTTTCAGTTTTATTGGGAAATAACTGACATACTTCACTATATAAGTTAAGGCATATGGCATGATTGTTTGATTTACATATGTTATGAAATGATTACAATAGGTTCACCTAACATCCATAACTGTTTATACCTTTTTGACTGCCTTCTTCCAATTCCACCTCCGCGCCCTCCACCATAGATGTTTTTAACATAAGTGATTATTTGTCATGGGAATAAACAGCAGCAGTTCAATAAAATTTATGTAATGAAGTAAAATTTTCAAGTAGAACACTAATACTAATGAAATATGATTCCACTCATCCCACTCTTTCTAAAAGAAAGGATTCATTTTTTATTAATAATATATCCACTTTTTGAAATAGAATATTTATATCATCCACCCAAAGATTTAATGTGATAAACAGCTGAGCAGTAACTAGACTCCTGGGAAAGTAAATAAAGCTCAAGTACATTGTTGACCTAATTATTCGAAACCAAAGTAAGTGAAGCCTTGGCTGCAAAGAGAGGAGGTGGATTGGAAATGGAGAGCAGAGTGTGCGTTAGGTTGAGTGCTCTTGCACGGCTAACTCCTCCTGATGTTTTGTGAAGACTTTCTTGTTTTGAGTCGTGGCTTTTTTCTTCTTAATTTTCTTACAGTCTTTAAGAGAACTGCAGACTAAGTCCTGGGTTTGGACATTTTTACTGAAGTACTTGCCCATATGATCATATCTAACGTGCAGTCCTTTGACATAATGACTCTAAATTGCTTTCTCTGTCAGTTCGTCCGGCAGCTCGCCTCCTCGGTTTGAGGAGCAGTCAGGCCATTGTGGTGACTGTCCCCCAGCCAGGGTACAGGGTTTTCTAAAGGGGGAAAGGGATTGCATTAAATGAATCAAAGCTCTCTGCACAGAGTCCCTGAGCCTAGAACCCCAAACACTGAAGGTCTACACAAATCCCTCATGTCCGAATCTTTTTATTCCTACTACATAGTCATTTTAAACTATCAAGTGAATTTGTTCTGAGCTTCCAGATGTAGGAAATGACACACTTTTATTATTACTTTTACATCAAATTAATTCAAGCTTTAAGCTTCCACCTTAAGCAGGAGGTAAGAAAGGTAATTTCAGTAGTTTTCAGTGTGCTCCTTTTCAGCGTCCTTCAGGAGTCCAAAGACGTCACACGAGCTCAGAAACCAGGGAACAGGCTCTGTATCTCCACCCCACGGTGGTCACTGCAGATGTTCTTGCAGTCCCAGGCTCCATCTGAAGTCACATGGTTCCGTTTCCCCCCAGTGGTCACGGGCAAGGGCCACAGGAGCCACCGCTGTCGATGCTCAGCCCCTGACAGCCACTGCCCACCCTGTCGGAGGTGTTCTCAGGGCCTGGCTCAGAGTGGAGCTGTGCCCTGTCACTCACATGGCCTGCCCTTGCTGGGCCCACCCTCGGGCTCCAGGGAGCGGGCCAGGCTTCTCCCTCTCAAGCGCACTGATAGATGTAGATGCTTCAGCTCTGGCTTCCCTCCCTCCTCAACCTCCAACCCCAGGCCCATACCAGAAAGATCCCTGTTCCTTTTCATCTTTGGGACTCCTAGAGGAGACTCAAAACCCAGTAAGTTTCCTTCCTCCCTGAAGGATAGGGGAGTTGTGGTGGAGGCACTGAGAGATGGCTGATGTGCTACTGGGAAGTCAGACTTTGAGAACTGCAATATGGAGAACGGGGATACCGAACTGCTTTCTTTCCATCCTACCTGGTCCACAGTAGCCAAGAAATGAACAATGAAAATCCTAAACGGTGCTTTTCTGCATAATGCTCTATTACTCCTACATGTGTAAGCACAGGAATTGGGCAATCTGTGTCCCAACCTCATTCGTCCAGTGTGCCCAGAGTCCTGCAGTTTGCAAAGCACTTTGCCAGGCTTTGGGGTGCAGCAGGAGCAAAGGAGATGTAGTGCTTGCCTCCTAGAGACTACGGTGCAGTGGGGACGTCCGGAAGTAAAGCAGAACAAATCACTGTAAACTGTGACGAGAGCTGTGACAGCGCTGGCACAGGTGGGAGGAACCGATCTGGGCAGCATTTGAAGAAAGCCTCTGAAGTGTTCGAGCACAGGCTTGAAGGCTGCAAGGGCGTGAGCCCTGGAGCCACTGGGGGGTTGCTTTCTCAGCAGGAGCAGGAGCAGCAGGCCCTGGACAGGGAAGGAGCTTGGCCATTCTGAGGAATGGAAAGTAGGCCAGAATCATCTGAGCTGAAGGAGAAACAGGAAAAGAAATACACCAGGAGGAAGACTCTGGGAGGGTAGGCTGGAGCCATCAGGACTTCGGAGACCGTAGTGGAGAGGTTGAATTTCAGGCTCCTGGAAGATTTTGAAGTAAGAGAATGATGGAGTTTAATCTAAACTTTAAAGACCACTCTGTCTGCTGAGTGGAGAATGAGCTCCAGGGGGGAAACATGCTCAGATTTATATGAGTTAACACATCTGGCGTGTGGGGACATCTCAGTATTCTACTCGCCACCTCCCAACCCCAGGCAGGTGTGGCGATATGGGAAGAGAAGGGCAGGAGCCGGTTCGGGGTTGATGGGAAAACGCCACCTCAGCATCATGACACTGACCCACCTCCCCCCTCAGATGCTACTCGGTGCCAACAGTGGGTCGGGCACTGTTGTTCTTGCCCGTGGGGTCAGAAATAAGAAATTGGCATTTTGTCAGCCCTTTCCAGTTATTCAGGCTGGATCCAACTTCCAATATTTATGGAATTCTTCTGGAAAAAAGAAAATATTTGTTGTCTTCCCTATTAAATCAAATCAACAAATACCTATTTAAAGTCTATTGTATTTAAGTTACTATGTGAGCTCTTTCAGGATATCACAGAATTTTGTAATTTTATTCTTTGACCAAACTCTACTTATCTTAACTGCAATTCCAAACATGGATTATGCATTTATTTTACAAATGTGTACAGAATGTTTATAAATTAACTCTCCATAATAACCTTAAGATGTAGGTACTATTATTATATGCATTTTACAGAAAAGGAGGAGAAGGAAGGGAAGTTAAGGGGGAAAAGGGGGAGGGATTTGGAGGAACAAATAGGAAGGACACAGGGACGAGAACTAAGGGGGGTGGAAATGGGAGGGAGGTGGGGAGCAAGGGGGGGAGGCTGGGTTGGGAAAAATAGAAAAAAATGTATTGAAAAATAAATAATAAAAAAAAATAATAAGATCGGGAAAGGACTGAGGCACAGAGAGGCTAAATAAATACAATTCATAACCAGAATTTAAACCATACCAACGATCTTTAAAATCTGTTGTGTTAAGTCTTATACTTTGTTACCTTTTCATTAAAAAAATTTATTAATTAGCTCTGGCTGGTGTGGCTCAGTGGATTGAGTGCCGGATTGCAAACCAAAGGGTTGCCAGTTCCATCCCCACTCAGGGCACATGCCTGGGTTGCAGGCCAGGTCCCCAGTAGGGAGCATGCAAGAGGCAACCACACATTGGTGTTTCTCTCCCTCTCTTTCTTTCTCCCTTCCCTTCTTTCTAAAAATAAATAAGTAAAGTCTTTAAAAAATAAACAAATAAAAATGAAAAATCTGTCAATGAGAAGGACGGGCTCATTCTACTAGTCCTTTTTTTTTAACTGTAAATTCCCAGTTCCCTCACTTGGCCCACACAGAGAACTGCTCCAGCACCGCCACGTGCTGTGGACGTGAGTGTCCGATGCTGACGGTCACTTCTCTTTGTTTCACAGGATTATCGGGACTTTGCAGAACTCCCCTGAGTTTTCAGAAGCTTTTCATTGCCCCAAGAATACATACATGAATCCCGAAAAGAAATGCCGAGTCTGGTGATCTCCAGGTGAAGACGGTGCAGCCCCTGGCCAGGCTCGTCAACAGCACAGCTCTGGGGACTCTGTCCAAGAGAATGGGCCACAGAGGTCACTGTTATTCCATGGGCATAGTTCACAGAGACAAGAGCATCACAATAAAAATGAAGTTAGGTTCTTCTGGAAAAATGAGTGGAGGGAGGAGGGTGTCTAATGTCTATCAAGCCAGTCATTCCTCACTGTATAAATAATGCTTAATCTCTCAAGATAGAATTACCGTTCACTTCTGTTTCTCATATTTGCTGCCAGTTTCGTGCGGTCTCTTGAAAACAGTGTTAAGCATTATGGAGAGCAGGACTTCTAATCCGAGGGAGAAGAGGTTGAAGAAGACAGTTGGCAGCAAACGCGCGTCAGCAACACGCGTTAAAAACACATCGTCGAAGTACTTGCTTGTACTTTGATTTGCAACGTCTATGCTCCTTCAAATCTCTTCCAAAGAATTCTTCTACATATTGGGGCCTTGGGACTTACATAGTTTCAAACTAACATTTCTAGTCATCAGTTATTCGTTCTGCGGTCATTTTAATTTGAGCCCCTAGGGCTAAAATCAGTGTCTAAAACTGTTTTTTGTGGTACCTGTCTGGACTGATACTGAGATTCTTAAGGCTCCTGCAATTTTTTAAGCGATTTCTTGTTCTCTCCCTCTCTCAAAACTTGGTCTTTTTAAGAGATTTGTAGTAATGTATAAATAATAATTTTTATATTTAATTGTTAACTACATTTATGACTAAGTAATTATTATTATTATTAATCATTGAGTATTGAAGTTTCAGACTGAGATAAATAGTTAATGAACCAAGGTCTGTAAAGTGATGTACAGTTGAACATTAGAGACTTTTTAAACTTATAAATCATATTGATGACAAGCTTTATGTACAAACTTTGGGTTAAAATTGCCATTGGACAGTTGTCTAAAGATACATGAGACTTGTGGTTTACAAGCAGGATTTCCAGAATTAAATCTGTCCCTAAGGTGGCTATGATAAAAGGGCAAAACCGCATCTATGTAGCTCTGCATCTCCTCATCTTTTCAGATTTGTCATATGATGGAAATATTTTGATAATAAATTAAAATTGTGAGCCCACTACTCACTATGGTTGTTGTGCCAGCCTTCTTGCTTGGAAAGTGCATTTTTTAATAGACATTTGCGCCTCCATCTCCAATAGACCTGCTCCGAAAATTCTAACTTGCACAGAGCTCTGGAAGGGGGCCATGTAGTCCCTGACAGGAGCTCAGCTTCCGAGGCTTTTACTTTCTTCTCTTTTCCTGTCCTGTTCGCTACTTTAGTTCATTCCGTTACTTGATTATTAATTTACGAAAGAGATGCACTTCCAAATCTTTACTTTTCCCAACAAAACATGAAAGTGAGGATGTTGTGTTTTTTTTCTGTTTTTTTATTTTCCTGCTTCTTGAAAAATGCCCATTTACCTTTTTAAACAAATGTTAGTGACATACAACATATATACAAACATTTCATAAAGCATAAGTGTATAGTTCAGTGAACTTTCTCCAACTGAATGCAGCCCTGTAACCAGAGCCTGTAAGAAATAAAAACATCACCAGCTACCCAGAAACCCCTTCTCCCACCATCACTTAACTCCTCAGGGACAACGACTGCCCTCACTTCTAGTGTCACACGTAAGTCTTGCCTGTCTTTGTTCGTTATGCAAATAGAATCAATCAGCATTTGTTCCTTTGCATCTGGCTTCTCTCACTCAGCATTACGTTCACGAGATTCATCTGTCCTTTTGCATTTGATTGATTGTGGATCCCACATTCTCGTTGCTGAATGGTATTCTAGTGTGTGACAGCACTACAGTTCATCCGTGCCATTGTTGATAGCACTTGTAAAGTTTCCAATTTGGGACTGTTATGAACATGAATGCAAATTACTTGAGATTTTGATGAACTCATTTCCACAAATCCTTCCTAAGGTTATTATGAATACTGAACACATAGTTTCAGACTTCAAAAGTGGATATGTTTATGCCTTCTTCCTTTATCACTAGCACCATTATTATGGATAATTTAAAATACACTTATATAAATATTTTCTGAAACTGAAAACATTTCTAAATAATATTAGTAGCTGGAGGAACAGGAGCACCCAGCTCTGAAAAGAATAACTATCTTTGAATCACTTCATGTCTATCTTGTCCGAGCAACTGAATAACCAGAAATGAAGAGTGACTATTACAAATAATGAACAGACATAAGCCCTGGCTGGTATAGCTCAGTGGATTGAGCACCAGCCTGCAAACCAAAGAATCACCAGTTCGATACCCAGTCAAGGCACATGCCTGGGTTGCAAGCAACCACACAGAGGGAAAGGATGTTTCTCTCCCTCTCTCCTTTTCCCTTCCCCTCTCTCTAGAAATAAGTAAATAAAATCTTTTAAAAGAAGACATTACACTTGCCACAGCTGGCTCTCTAAAATGTGAGCTTGCTATCTGTATGGAGAGATTTGAGTGACATTTTCAATGGGTGACGGGCACCTCTCCAGTTCCTGGATCTCCTTTCTCTAGAAATACCAGATTTTCTGAGCCTAAGGGGCAGACCCAAGTCAGAAGACCAATACCTCTCAACCCCCATCACTAACCGTTGTTTAGTTGTTCGGGGACTTACAGTTTCTCTCGGCCTCCCCCAATCATCTGGAGTTGTCCCATCAGATAAAATCCATCTGTAATCTCACACATAGGTCCAGTTCCACCATGGCTGACTCCTGGTCAAAGACAGAGTCTAAAAGCTGAGACACTGGGGCCAGGGGCCTGTGTAATTCAGGGATGAGGATAGGAAGTTCTCCGGCACCATGGTAAGGAGTCTGCCTCCATGCTGCCATGCCGGTGTGGATTCTAGGTGCAAGGCGGAAAAAAGGCTATCCTGGGAGGAGATTTCTCTCTTATTCCAATCCTATTTTGTCACTAATAACAAGGGGACCATGGGCATTTGATCTGTTTGCTTGGGACTTTGCTTTTCCTAACCAAAATAAAAGAGAATTTGATTCTATCAGTAGTTCCCAGGAAGAGATGGAGAATGTCTCCAACGCTGCCTTACTCGTAATCTCTCCCTCAGTTAAGAACCACTGGGTAAGATAATTCCCAAATTCCTATGTAAATGCCTGAATCTCAATAGATCGCATGCTTGTCCAAAGAAAAGGATCAAAGCTTTATTGAGTTAGGGTCTGTGCAGTTCTTACAGTTTTCTCAAAAGCCTTAATCTTTCCTGTCGACACAGGTGAAGTTCTCAAAGTAGAAGATAATTTAGAAATAAGACTCGACCCCTTCAAAAGAAGGAAAAAGAAGGAAGTAAGGGAAAATGAGAAAGTTTTATCAAACTTTCCTTCCTCCCTTCCTTCCTTCCTTCCTTCCTTCCTTCCTTCCTTCCTTCCTTCCTTCCTTCCCTTTTTCTCCCTTACTTCCTTCTTTCTTCAAAAATAACACTTTCAGATGACTTTTAAAATGTAGTGTTTCAACTTATAGAAATATTTAAAATACAGGGGAAGGAAGGGAATTAAGAATCACCTACATACCAACAGTCAAAGATACTCCCTATTAATTTTGGCATATATTTTCCAACTCTTTTTCTATGCAACAATATTTTGACATAATTCAAAAGTCATAGTTCAAACTACAGTAAATATTTTAGCATTCCATACTTGATTCTGTATTTTGGGGGGTAGGACATTGATAGCAAGTTTGATAAAACTTTCCAAAGTTTTATCAAAAGAAGGAAGTAAGGGAAAATGAGAAAGTTTTATCAGCTTCCATCCAATCTCAAAAGTACAAAGTTGAAAACAAACATTCTTCTCACTACGCTGCCCAGCCCAGGCAGTCCTGCTCTGGCCGCTCCCTCGCCCCCGAGGAAACCTCTGTAGCAGTTTTGTCTTGAGAACTGTTGAGGCCAAATGGAGCCTTTGTCTAAGAAATATTATGTATCCTACTAGCGTGGAATCAAGTTCTTTTTAAATTGAATGATATTAACTATTTTACCAATATTTTCTCATTTTCACCAACCCATTCTTCCAAAGACACCATAGTTTTCTGATCTGATTTCTTTTCATATGTTCAATGGAAAGGTTGCCAAATGCTATGAGGAGTCACAGGCATAATCGGATAACTTGGGCAGACACCAAAAGTGATTTTGTGCACTGTCCTTGGACGGAGGAACTTGACTTCTGGTTGATCAGGTGAAGAGAGGGGCCACCTGTGACTGGTGTCAAAGTGGCCCATGTTTATTGCATTCTAATCTTTCTTCAATAATGTTGTGTTAATTCCAGCACCTTTGTATTTCACCTTTTCTGTGAAACAGTGAGAGATACTACTGTCGTTTTCAATCTCGTGGCCAAACTAGTACGCTTCCGTTTTTCATTTGACAAAGCGGACCCTCCAGTGGTGCAGGGGAAGCCTGGCAGAAAAACAAGCGGTGGCTCCTCAAGGGACAATGGGCTCTCAGCCTGGGCCCTGAACAGAGACTAGGCAGTCTAGCCATTGTGACTGTTTTTTACATTTCTGGATTCTCTTTCTACCCAGCAGCCCACAATAATTTTTTCAGGTATCATCCATTTTAACATCTGATTCTATTTCTTTAAATGTACTTGCTGTCATCTCTGATCTGCTCATCTCAGTTATAATGCATCTTAAAAGTTTGCTCTATATCCAGGAAAACAGAAATGGGGCCCAGCACCTGGATTATCATTCCCTTGGAGTAGATCTCTCAGCGCACATGCTATCAATGTCCTACCCCCCAAAATACAGCATCAAGTATGGAATGCTAAAATATTTACTGTAGTTTGAACTATAATATCAAAGAAATAGGGAGGAAAGACCAGCTAGCAGCACACTTTTGTTCAAAGAAAATATGAAAGGAATGCAATGTTGGATATACATTATGATTTGAATTATGTCAAAATATTGTTGCATAGAAAAAGAGTTGGAAAATATATGCCAAAATTAATAGGGAGTATCTTTGACTGTTGGTATGTAGGTGATTCTTATTCCCTTCCTTCCCCTGTATTTTAAATATTTCTATAAGTTGAAACACTACATTTTAAAAGTCATCTGAAAGTGTTATTTTGAAGAAAGGAGGAAGTAAGGAAGAAAAAAGGGGAGGGGAATGAGGGGGATACTTGACAAAAAAATTGAAACATAATTCCGTTGAATTTAGAATGTGTTCATTTATTTGAGAAGCTATTCAGCTTGGTATTCCAAGGCATCCAGTCCATGGAGTGCGGTCACCAGCTCTTCCCCACCCCCAACGGGCCAGATCTCAGTTTTATGCGGCAGCTTCAGTACACACTGCCTACCCCAGAGCAGGGGAATTTAAACTCATCCTGCTGACTGTGCTTAAATGGTTCTGTGAGAACAAAGCATCTACTCTAGAGGGGTTTTTTGGTTTGGTTTTTGGGTTTGGGGTTTTGGGTCTTGGGTTTTGTTTCCGAAAGTGCTAAAGGGTTGCCTGATCTAGGCTCACTAGTCCACCTGGTCTCCCTCCAAACAAAACCCTAGTACATGCCAAACCCTGACTAAGGTTAAGGATACAGCCTATAACTGTGAAACAGAAGCCAGTAAATCACAGTGATCGGACCTCAATGTTCCACCTGGTAGACACTGCGATTTCCAGGGGCTCAAATGCTAAAACTTAGGGGTTGAGCATGGAAGAGGCAGCAGGATACATCTAATCCCAGGTGACTCACTGCTTATATGTGAGGAGTTTTCATGTTGGTTGCAAATGTGAAAATCAAGCTTATTCTGGGTTAGCCAGAACTGGGGGCTTTGTTGAGCCACCCTTCCAAACATGGGCACGGGTCAGTAAGGGCCTTCTTTCCATGTGTCGACTTGACTGCCTTTCTCCAAAAGAGAGCCGTGATGGTCAACCACACCTAAGCTCAGAGATTCTCTGCTTCCTTCCCAGGGGAAGGACAGGCTCAAACTGCAGTCTCTGAAATCCTAGAAAACCCCAATCAGCCCTTTGAAGAAACATGCCTACCCCTGTGTCTAGGGCAGGAGGGAGAGTAAGGTTGTGGCAGGTATGATCACTGATTCCCTATGGAGTCACAGGGGGTAGTTTTCTAAAAGAAGGAAAGCGCCATTCC